AGTAATGCAATAGTCGTGTAATGCCTTACATTTTAATTGCAGTAATATTGTAGTGTAATGAATTACTTTGAAATGACAGTAACAAATAATAAATAATGCATTACAGTTTTGAAGTAACTTGCCAAACAATGTATTTTACATGGCATTAAACTTAAAGGTACAAGCGTCCGCCACTTATTTGACTCATGAAGAATGTTCCACAGTATGGCATTCTTACAAGTCATCTATCTCTTGCATCGCCTCTATTCCAAGTGTTTTTATTATTTCAGAAATAATCTTAAAAACATGCGTCTGTATTGTGAGTGGCCTCCCTCTCCACAGATCTAATCTGTAACTTGGCCTGGTGGTGTCACATATTGTTCTTTATGGAGATAAGTTTAATGCCATACTGTGGAACATCTTGATGAATACAAGTAGATGGCAGACATTCCACCAAAAAACATAAGTAAGTATGTAAGAGTAAGAGGGAGTATTACACCTCTATGGGGCATTAAGTGCTAACATACAGTTTATAAACAAACATAGATCACCATGATGCCTTTTATTGTTTTGCTACATTCACCAAAACCAATGTATTAACATGTTGTAATGTTCCCCTTGCTCTCCGCACACTCCCCCTTCAGAGCACTAAAACATAATAATCAGTGTGTATCTTGCTAATAAAACCACATCACATCACATTAAGTTTGTGAAGTTGTAGTAATTTTTTTTTTTATATCCTGCTTTTGTATATTTATGTAAAATTGCTGTGTGGGAGCATGGATGAGCTTAAGATAGAATCGCACTGCTAAACATATGGAGGGTTTGAATAAGGCATGCCACGCTACACTATAGTAGTATATATATATATATATATATATATATATATATATATATATATATATATATATACTACTACTATATAAACTATACAACAACTCTACTATATATATATATATATATATATATATATATATATATACTATATATATATATATATATATATATATATATATATATATATATATATATATATATATATATATATATATAAGTAGAGTTGTTGTATAGTTGGTTCGGCTAATCAGATAATGTTGTATAGTTGGTTTGGCACTATATATATTCATCAGAAGTATAAAAACCTTTACTTAGGTACTAGGGATGTAACAATAACCAAAATATCGTGATATCGTATCATCAAAAGTCTCTCAATAATATCGTGGGCCATCACAATATATCGAATTACAAGTTTCTTTGCTTAAATTCATTGTTATGGCGCAGGAATAGCTAAATAAACAGAGGGAACTACATCGACCATGATCCTTTGCTGCAAAATACATGGAGAAATAGTTCAAAGCTCTTTAAGTCTTTTTTTAATTAAGTCTTGTCAAGGCATTTTAAGAGGTAAAAGTAGCATATTCACAATTTTGTTGTGAATATATTCCACAAAATATAGCAATAAATATTGTACAGTGAGATTTGGATATCATTACATCATTATTAGGTACACATATGACATTTTTCTCTATTGAAACACATTGTCACCATAAAGTCAAACATAACTAAATAAAAATAATACTACTATAACTATAAAAGTCGAAAGCACAAAAGAACTGTCTCTGAGTTTCTATAGCTTCAACACACACTATATGCATGCATCCCAACTACAGAACTCTCAGCATGAAAACAACAAACAAACATGATCAAAGTCACCAGGGCTATTTTTGTAATTCATAAAGCCTCCTCCAGCGCTAGTCTACCAGCCCCATCCAAAAGCAGTGCAGTGGGCATGCTAGAGGATTCATTCTTCTTTGCATATCTGAGGCCCCCAGCTCCTCCCTCGATCCCAACCCTCAATCTGACAAACCCAATTAGCAGGACATGAACATTATGGTTTATGTAGAGTTCCTTTGGCAGGCATTGGGGAAGCGGGGGCTTGGCACATAAGGATGGGCACATAGCATCTTCCAGCTGGAGAAGCAAAGTTATAGTGAGCTGGCATTGTGCAACGTCCTCCAAACTTTCTCTGTGTCGCAGTTTTCAGTATCTGTAAGTTTGTCATACTTGGGGCTGGAGGGTCATGATAATAAAACAAATCTGATCCCTGTGTCATGTCAGTTTGCTGCTTTGTCTCATTGGTTAGCTGGAATTGAAGCGCAAACTCAAAGAAGAAGTGAATGATTTAACTATCTCTTATGTAGATAATGAATGCATGGATCGTGATTAAAGGGCCCATATTATGCTATTTTCAGCTCCATTATAATGTTGTTTCCTCATCATAAACATACCGTTCTGTTTTGTTTCATCAACACACTAACCCTACAAATTTAGACTGAGTTCTTCTCTCAAACAGCAAATACTTATGCTGTCATGTGGAAATACAGGAAGTGCTTCACTCTGTTTTTAAACTCCATAGAATCATTTGGATGATTTCAGCCCTGGAATTTGTTACTGTAACTTGAAAAATACTACTACAATACATCGCAAGGTGGAACAAACAACCCCAGGTATGTTTTTGAGGAGGTAACAACATTCTAATTTGTCTTAAAGCTCACGAAAACCCATTTTGAGTAATACAGGACAATTAAATCTAAATTGTGCTTGTGGTTCTAAGAAATGTATTATACCGAAAAATGTGTGGGCTAACTAACTAAGCAGTGCACAGTTTTTTCTATTTAATGCCAATACGGGACTCAAGTATTTCCATTAGGGGTGTAACGATATTCAAGTCTCACGATACGATATTGTCATGGTATGAACATCACGGTACGATATTTATTGCGATCGTGGGAAAGCTCACAATATCGTGGGGAGGCTCAAGATTAGGGATTTAGCAATATCCACATCTCTCTGTACGATATTTTCATCATATACATCTGACGGTACGATATTTATTGTGATATTTTGCAGAGGCTAACAAAACTGTTAACTCTTTTTTCTCTTAAAATGTCTTGACAAGACTTAATACAAAGAACTAAGACTTAAAAATGCTTAGAACTGTTATTTCTTCTTGTAGTCTACAGTAAAATAGAGCAAGGATCATGGTCTATGTAGTTTCCTCTGTCTTTTTTTAGCTACTGCTGCACCATAACTCTTAATTTAAGCAAAGTGACTTAGTGTTTGATATATTGTGATGGTCCACGATATTATTGTGAGAATTTTGACGATACGATATCACAATATTTATGTTATTATTACAGCCCTAACTTCCAGTATGGGACCCAAGCATAACGCAAAGACTAACCCATGCAAACAAAATGAGTAAGATCTCCCAGCACACTGTAGACTTATTCAGACAGGTAAAAGTGAAATCCTTCTCCAGAGCTCAGCTGAACTACACAGCACAGTGCTCGTGTGTGTCAGCCTGTCAGCCGCCAGTCTCCCAGCCCGTACCACTTCACCATTTGAATGAACCTAAAGGAGATCTACAGCTTCAAAGCCCGCTCCACTAAGCACCACTAGACACTGATCAATGGGACAGCTAATGCGAAACAATAGCAGCTGAAATGGTTTGAACTACTGTACCCAGAATGCACCAGTTTTTATGATGAGGAAAAATGGGACAGATCAGAGCTCTTGACAGAGAAACCGGCAGATGTTCTCGACAAAAAAGCAGAACAAGAGGTGATATTTTTACATTTGAAAGCATTTTTTTTTTTTTTAAATCTTGAGGGATTCTTCAGAGTGTAAAAACTCAAAGGGAGATGACAGACTAAATAGAGACATGTACACAGACCAAATCATAATTCAGGCCTCGTATGTAATTACTGTCAAAACAACTTATCAACATCAAGTCATTTCATTCAGCATTTATTATAAATCAAGTCAATATAAATAGACTATTTTTGAAAGACTGTTGTAAAATTGCTAGTTGGCATCAAATCTCCCTAGTAATTTATCAACCAGAACTAACAATAAGTGCAAAATGGCAGAGTGGTTAGCCCTTCTGTCTCTTCTCCAAGTATTTCTTCAATTCAAAGGTACAGAGTCATATAGATTCATAACATCAAATCCGTAATCTGAGTTTTAACCAAGTTTCTCATCAACACAAGGATTAAACTGGGTTATAATCCTGAAATAGATATGCCAATTTACTCATTTAAATAATCCATACATGTATTTATATTATTGTCACTGATACATGTAATTCCTGAGATGCTATATGTCACTGACTTCTCATTGCCACTGCCAAAAGCCCAGCTCTGGGACACGTTTTCATACAGTTTTCCACATGTTGATGTTATTGCAGTAATACCATGTTGGCTTAGAGCTACATGCATGTCACCTCTAGTATATTTATCATTACTCAGAGATTCAGTGTATGTCATATGTGATGTTAATAGTCCCTGTTGGCAGCTAATATGCACTTTGAAGGGCAGGCATGTTTTAAAACTGACAGGGCATGATCTGATTGGCAGAGATTGGGGGATAATCTCTGAGGGACATGTGTAAACAATGCTTTATGCTTAATGGATGATGGAAACTTAAAGGCATTACACTGGACTCTTAAAAACATGAAAAACAAAATCAAAGAATTAACAGTTCTTTAAAACTACCATATTTAATAAGACTGGCCAAGCTGTCCCTGTTGTATTCTCACGTATCACCACTAGATGCTATCGATGGTAGTTGAAGAAGACTAGAGACCAGAGGAGTTTGAACAAAGGGCAGGTAAAAAGAGGTAGAAGTGTGGGTCATCAAATAGACTTACAGGTATTAGGTTTAAATCAGTAATATTCAAATTTGAGGAGTACAGATTAACAGATGTGTTATCTAGTCTATAATACCAGTGTACAGTAAGACTTGCCTCCCTGTAGACATTGTCACAGTGGCTCAGTGCTCGTTTTAATTAACACAAATGCCTGAAGATGATAATTAAAAAGTAGAGAGTTGATTCCCCACTAGGAAAGGATCATACAATGGAAAAATGTGAGAGAAATTTTAAGATGTGTAGCAATATAATAATAAGTTATATAACAAGTTAAGAATTGGAAAAAAAAAAAAAAAAAAAAAAAACTTACTTCATTGGTTTAAACAACGCTTGTCCGTAGTTCTGGAAAGTCAGAATCAACTTCAACTGTGTGCCTCCCGATTTCATGGCTGCAAGATAAAAAAACAAAAAAACAACATTATTATTTTTAGTATTTCAAATAAAGTTGTTTGACCATTATTTTAATGAAAACTTTTTGGAAGTCACTCTGGCCCTGGTTTGATTTTGGTTTAGTCATGGTGTTTAATCAGGTTTAGTTTGAGGTTTTGTCCCAGTTTAGTTTTGATTTAGTATGTGGTGAATCTAAATTGTTTATAAGGAATTAATGTGGGAGTGTTTTCCTGCGTACATCCTCTGTACAAACTCACTATGTTCTACCTCCTATGGTCGTAATCTACAAACCCCATAAGATTAGCTAATACCCAGACATTTTCCATGGTAATAAATGTCTACTGTATATCCAGCCATAATGAAATGACATGTCTAAAGTGCATATACTGATGAGCCCTACCCCCTGCTATGAGCTGCCTGCTCTGCTCATTCACGCAGTACTTCCTGCTTGTACACAGAGCCCCGTGCTTTCATTAATTTTCTCAGCTCTTAAGACGACTTGGCTTCGTCTTACTCACCCCTGGCAGCACATGCAATTTACCGTGACTCATTTTCAAAAGCTTGTCGGGATTTCGCATACACTGTTGCACAGAGTCCAACCCGAATAACCTCAAATGAGTGAGTGCGGGCTTCTCATCTCCAGGAGGGAAGAGATACACTGGGAGCATTATAACAGCGGTGGCACGTGGCATATTTGTCAGAGAATATCGCCCGGGGAAATCTTTTAAACTTGATACAGCGAGACAGTCAAACCTTTGTGGATTGAGACGATTCAACACCATGACCTTGAACCTTATAAGCTACAATCCACAAGGGTCTGTCCTCAGTGCTCCTCTTCGTACTGGTGATATAAAAGGCTGTTCTAATGCTAAAGTAATCCTTCTTGATTGTGTGTTTAGATATGTGCAATGATCTAACATGAGAAAATAACTTGGCTTATGTGACAGGCCATCTGCCGTACATGATTGATAGATTATTGTTTGTTTTTCTAACAATTTTAATGATTGTTACCACTGCCAAAACTAAAATTCTTCATTGTAACTTATTGACAATATCTACTTAGAGGTGGGTGGAATTTTTTTCATTTCTTTCATTTCTTTCCGTAATTTGATGATATTTTTGCAATCTCAAATGTGCTAAATGTTTGATTGAGGTTTAACGATCACGCAAATGTGAAACGGATTGTAAAATTAAACACATATGAGCAAAAAATAATACCACTTAGTGCCTGTGTTTGGAAAATTATGTTGCAATTTTCTCTTCTTTTTAGTTTTAATTCGTTTTTTTTATTGGGAATTTACTGAATGTTATTTTTTTTCATTTTGATATATTTGCTAAAGCACATGGCCATGAGTCACCAAAAAACATGGCAAAAACTAACCTGGTACCACTTTATATTCTGTACTACTACTAAGTCATTACTAATAAGCATGTCACGATAAACACTATATCAAATTTTCGTTCAATGCATGTTAGACAAAACAATCATTTTTGAGCGTCTATTTGTATTGTGAGTTTTTCTTTGTCTTAGTGGGGAACTTTTTGTTATTTTTCTGTACTATGATGAGATTGAGTTTCAGCATTATAGGTTTATAGTCTATATTTTCTTCAGCGATATATCGTACATCACACTTTGTTGTGACAGGCCTAGTTACTAAGCCTGAACCAAGCCACCATTTATTCATTGTGAAGTCTTTTAAAAGTGTATGTATAATTATGTTAGTCATAGTAACTCGTATACATAACACTATCAAGTACAATGCTAACCACTCTGCCACTCTCTATACACTCACTTGAACTGTACATCTTTTCTAACAAACAAATTGCCTTGTCTTCTTCTCTTCCTGGTGCTGCTTGTGTCACCCTATCCTGCTGTGATGATAAATCCGCCTCACCTGAGCCCCCTCACGCTCCCATGCCTATGATTTATGGATCCATCCGAAAGACTGAACAAAAGGGCCACCGCTGACCCAAAAGAGGGGAGGAAGAGGGGAGGAGGAGTGGAGGAAGAGAGGAGACAGGTACAGAGCAATACAGCATGGAGAAAGTGCTGAACAAGGGAAGGCTCCAAGTGTGTTTGGTAATTCTAGTGAGACAGTTAAGTGCTATGTGCGCACCAATTAGGGAGCACCAAAGCACAAACGCTCATAAACTTCAGACGTGATTTCGTTTTTGCAGACAGACGTTTTTTATGGCCTAGTCTGGGCCCAGAGCTGTGGTGATATAGAGGAGACGAGACGCATAAATGTGACATAATTAGGAGTGATTGATAGTGATTAAAGGAGCAAAGACATTTATAAAAATGCTGGAACGTGTTTGTGACTTTTGAAATGGTAATAGCTAAACGTCAACTTTAATTTCACAAACTTGAACATACCCACAATAAGGAGTCGCTAATTACAGTTTAAAAGTTGTATTTAAAGCTACCATTTATCATACTCGACAAACTGGCCCAGTTGTATTCTCACATACCGCCACTAGATGCTTCCTACATTACTGCTGTCTGAGAGTGTGCCATTTCTGGTCTGACAGAAGAAAACCAGAGACTACAAGTGAGCTTGAACAATGTTAAACTGCCAACTAAAACAATAAATCAAATAAATTTACAGATTGTAGCTTTGACTCAGAGATTTGTTCAAAATTGCAATTGGATTTAGAGTTAGGCACCATTCACTTGTACATCAAAGTTGAGTATGACCTGTAAAAAGTGCCATAAAACACTAAATAATATGATCGTTTTTGCTTTATGTGTGGAGAGTGTGGACACATGCACACAGATGTCCGTTACAAACTGGTGACTCACCCACACTAGTGATCCTCTGAGTGACCAGGTCTTTGAGCAGAGCCTCCAGCACTGCGCTGTGTCTGGGGTACAGCTCGTAACGGTTGATCCCAATGTGGAAGCGCAGCCAGTTTGGGTACGACTCTGCTGTGCCCTCCGCCGTAGGAGAGAACTCTTCCTCCTCACCATTTCCCTCTTCATTCTGCCTATAATCAAAACAAGAATGTAAATATCTGGCAGTTGTGTTATGGCTATATGAATGAATACTGAAAGAAGACATAATATGAACTATACATCACACATCACATTGAACTGACTGGTAAAATCCATGGTTATTTGACTTCAAGTGGATCATATGCCAATATATTCAACACCACTGGCCATTCTATTAAGATTATGGACCCACAGGTATCAATATTCTCAAAATAATCTTTATGTACAGCCACTTCCCTTATCTCAATCAATACTAGTCTAAATGAGGGCAAGGCATATGGGGCTTAGTGGCACATTAAAGATGAATGATAGCCAGGCTGAGTGACATTAAAATGCAACTGTAACATTGCGGAGAATTAATAAGCATACGACTGTATAAACCATATTATTGTGTTAAAGCCGGTCAGAAATAGGTTAACTATAAGCCAAGAGCCTGCATGAATGAAAAGCTTTAATCTGAGTGGTAACTGTCCCACTTGTCCCTCTTTTGAGCGTGCGTCGTCCTACTTACCATCCCTGGCTCCCCGTGGTTTTGGGGTAAAATCTAATGTCCGTGTTGACGTTAAACAAAGTGTCATCGTCCGTGAGCGCCGGGAGTTCAGACCTGTACAAGGGATGCTCAAACAGCGCAGACAGTCTGGATCCACCGTGTGCTGTCACGGTCATTCCCCCGCTCGCGTCCCCTATGAGCGGTTTGTGCAGGTCTGCTGCTCTCCCTCCCGGAGCTCTCATCCTCCCAAACGCAGCCACTCTGTCCCCGGCCGATGCGAGCTTCTCCAATGAATGGGACGTGAGGTTGGAGCCGGGTTCGTTGCTGAAGTCCTGGAGGATCCTAAGCGCGTGTTTATTAGGCCAGCCAGCTTCAGCCGGCGACCTGGCGCGATTCTTTCCCCAGCTCTGTGACTCTGCTCCGGGGTGATGCGAGCACTGACAGCCGCCGTCACCGGTGCTGCCGTCCGCTCCAGACGCGCGCTTCTCCAGTTTGGGTAATAAGTCTATCATAATGTGCATCGTGCACGCCACCAAAAACACCATTAGTAGTAATACTCTGAATTTTCGGAATAGGATCATCTTCAGCATCTTACAGCACCGACATTGAGGTCCAACAAAAGTGTAATTATATAGGGTAGCCGCGGAGGTTTGAAGATATTTTGTTTACTCCACGCATTACGCACGCACCTTTGCTAACTCTATTACGTGTAAGGCTTTTTCAGTCCAAGATCTCTTTCCTCTCACAGCTGGATGGAATCATTACGAGACAGTGGCAGCGGCTCAAGTGGCGCTCTTCATTCATGCCGTTGTGAGATAGTGTGAATCAGACGCACAGAGCATTGAATCAAATGCAGGCGACTTCTTTAGGCAGATACTTCTGATCTAGCGCTACATATTCCTCTGTAAGAGCAGGTGGTCCGCGGCTGTGGGTTTTGACGCCGTCCCGTTGCGTGGCTGCTGTCGGTGTTGCTCGTTAAAGTTCAATATGAGTAGTGCTGGCAGGTGCACGGCTGCCTCTTGTCATCCGTCCTCCGCTCCCCGCTTTGTCTTCCGGCCAAGTGCTCATCCCGAGCGGGAGTGTTAAATATTATGATGGAAGCCCTCGATGTCCAGCCTTGTGGCGTCATAAGGAAGAGATGGGTGTGCGTGTGCGCAGACAAGGAGCACCACAGTGACATGAAAGGCGAGCTAGCAAGAGGAAAAGAGGATGGACCAAAGCAGCTGGGCCTGCAACGCCATTGTGCGCAGACAGAGGGCGATAGAAGAAACAAAGGCTTTCAGAGGCTGAGCAAATGTGCGTCCTCAAAAGGATGGTACATTGGATTTGAATTTTTTTGTTTATCAATATAGGCAAGTTAATTTAAATAGGACAAAGATAAACATGATATCAAGGGCTAGATAAGTTGCCCATAGCCGTGATAAATAATCAAAAGTAGGTCTACTAAAATCTAAAATCTACAAAATGTAGTCTAGCCCTGTGGCTTAATAGTAACAAAATATATAGACCACAATTATAACACCACATATCATTATGAATCTAGTAGATCTGCAATGTGTATTGGAAACGTGCTAGGCTGCAAATTATTATATAATTATTATATAATTTGTATGAAAATTTAAAATGGGCCTATTGACCTAGTTGACTCTCTTTTTTCACATCCCCATGTCTTCAAGCTCCATCAAAAGTTTAAGGCAGTCAAAAGTTACTCTGTGCCTGCAAGCTAGTCTGCCCCTAACAACTTCTCTTTATTTCCCTTATGAATATTTTCATTTGAATCAAAGGACTTTTAATCATCTTATTTATCGTCCACCAACATTAATCTTATACACGGATATTGTGGAAGCCGTACACACCTGCCTGCCTTCTCCCGGGCTATTTTCAATTTGCTGATAAAGTCAATGCTCCTTTCATTAAAACTGGTCGAGGCAAAACACTCAAGCAAGAGCAATTATGGCTGTGTTTATTTAGACCCCACTGTCTTCAAAACTTCACCGTGGAGTTGTTAAATTGCTTCCTCTTTGAACTCTGCAAATCAAATTAGTTTCATTATTTTGTTTTGTGATTTGTAATGCCGGAAGCCTTGTACAGGAGCTGGTAGTCGCCCAATGGATTCTTTAATATGTTAAAAGGAAGAAATGATACATGTTTATATGTTTTGTTTATGAGCTGTTCAAAGTGCTAACATTTGGACTTGGTTGGTGCCGAACATCCCACAGGCAATGAATACAAGAATTCATGCCACCATCCTACAGTAAACAAGCCTGCTTTCAAAGGCACGGACTGTGCCAGTATAGAATTTATAAGGTGCACACGTAACTATGAACAGTGCATAAAAATACACAACTCTGGAGTTTGAACTAGTTTAATTCCCCCACAAAGGCCCTCACAGATGTATGCCACAAGCATTGCTAACTTGCAAAACATCTTTGTATGGTGATTGAGTCTGAAATTAATCAGATCTGATCAATTAAGCAACTGGGTTGTGTTCCAATACCTACAGATGATGTGTCCTGTGTCAATTGTGTTAGAAATCCCAATCAAGGCATAAGCAGACTCTTACTGAAAACTTACGTTATACGTATTGCCTCACATAATGCAAGCAAAGATGTTTCATATTTTGTGGGCAAATCAAAACCTGCAAACTGTTACCTGCACACAGACTGAAGACTGGTCCTGTGTGTTTTTCATGAGGTATGTCTCTGCCACTGGAGATTAGAAGAGCTTTTAATTTGCAGACACAATATTGAACTGAAAACCTAAAAGTCTGATGTGATGATACATTATTTTATCTTTTTAAACCACCTTAGACTTCATCTCCTTGGTATTGAAAATTGTGGAAAAGTAACTAAATACATGTAGCAAAGATACATATTTGGGATATTAATTCTGAGTAACTGTATTTGCAGCTGTAGTTAGTTACCCTTTCCCTTTTATTTGGTGGAATTGAGAAACATACATTATGACACTCAATCACTCTTGTGGTGAATTTTCCTTCTCTAACAGAAAAGTCTACCTTACAAAAAACATTTAGGTATTTTGTTGCAGCCATATTGTATTGCCACACAATTTGTTATGTAATTGGCTGCCCTATAAAAGGGAAGGAAAAGGCTCACACAGGTGTTTGCAGTGTGGAGGTATACAGTCTTTAACTGCTGAAGTGCTGAATCTGTGTATTTTGGATGGTTATAAAGTATGCCAATAAACAATCAAGGAAGACAGGTAGACTTTCTTTTACGGAAGACACACATCTGAGACGCCACACATGCTGCAGCCATAGTGAACCATGCACAGGGCAAGTTTGGGAGCTACATATTCATTTAGGTATTTGTTTTTCCCAACACTGTATGCAGTTTTATGTACTCTTGAAAATTTCACAATGTCTTATAGTTTACTTGAATTCTATGTACACTGAACACCAGCATAGATCACTACTGTATATCTAATGATTGAAAAGCAATGTAATTTGTGTGAAGATAGATCAATAGTCAAAAATGAAAAACTGAACAAACTGTAGTAATTTGCGCATTGAGATTACAGAACACGTAGGCGAAAGTGAGACTATTGATTTTTGTTAAAGTATTTTTAGATCTGAAGAGGGAGAGGATATAAGATTACAGAAACATTAGAACAGTTAAAGTTATGAGAATATTAACAACAATGCTTTTTACTGCTTTTTATAAAGAAATACAATTAATATTATGCAGAACTGAGTTAAGCATTTTGGTCCAGCCCTCCACTATATTTTCTGTTTCCTATGTGGCCCCATGAAAAAAATTATTGCCCACCCTTGGGCTAGAAGATAAAAGCTACAAAGCTTGACCTGTGCTTAGTAAATGAGTTCAACTATTAAGAGTCTGATAATTTTTTTGTTTCAACATGAAACATCAATGGCTATGTAAGTGTCCACATTATAATTGGAACATAATAGTACACTACAAAACAGTCTGAATAAATAGCTGGTTCAGGGGAGATATCATTACAGACATAAGAAGGTATAAGAAGATACCCTGACATTACACAGACTCAAAGGACATTGAATAAAAACTATAGGCTTAATGTACAATGGATTTGGTGACCACATAAGAGCATCGTCTGTAGTCTTGGTCTTTCACAGCGTGATGCAAACTCAGAATAATGAAATTACTGCCTCCATGCTGGTCAGGGAGAGTGCCCGCTGCGAAGACCTTCTTACTCGGACTCCAAGAATAAAATGAGGTGTGTTAAGTAAGTGGTTCTTTATAGGCAATGACCTTGACAATGAAGACAGCAATGGAACATAACATTTTTACATGGCGTTTTATGCAAATTTTCTCATGTATATAAATGGATTAACTGGTAAAAGCATGTGCTGTGTTGGATTCGCACACTGTCCCATATAGCATAATCACAGGCAGGACAATTTATAGTGTATGGTCCATTTCATGCTCAAGTGAGTGGCAATAAAGCATTATTTGAAGTTGTTGAAAAATATAGTGAACATGAATTAATGCAACTTAGACAGTTACAATATGGTTGTTCTCTATGTTTGAGGTCCTGTTTAATGTGTGATTGAAGTTTGGGTTGGGGATATTAAGGAGGGACACTCCACTATGTGCAGACAAACAATGATTCATGCCATATTTGCCATTCACATCAGCTCATGCAATAAATCCATATGTCCATTTACACTTTCTGTCTATTGTTTAGCATGTTCAGCTGAGCCCAGTCACAGAGTGTATATTGGTTTGGTCTGGTTCTCTGGAGTCCTTGTTTACTTCCAGGTTAAGTTCCAGCTTTGATGAGCCTCATGCTAAAAAAAAAACAGTGAAGATTTGCTAATTACTGAATTTAATGGTCATTCAAAGTTATTCAGTAGACTCACTAGTGCAGGGGTCTTCAACCTTTCCTCCAGTGAGTTACCTTTGCATAATGAAAATGCCAGCGAGCTACAGATTTTAGCAGTCACAAGAGATTTAGTCAGAGTCACAGCAAACCTTAGATGGGGTACATTTAGATGCCTATAAAATATGAACCATTATATTTACATACATCAAGTTAAAGATCAAAATTATACATTTCAGAGGTAATAGGCATTTCATTTGTCAAATTATAGTTGTTCAGCACAATACGTATAATTCAGAAATCCCTTGGTGAGCTACTTGGAAGGGGCTGGAGATCTGATGACTGAAAGGTTTAAATTTTTCATTCCGCACTCTTCTCTCTAATTTAATCTCTCTCTCTCTCTCTCTTTAATTTTATGATGATTATTTATGTTTTGATTTATTGTGATTTAAATTTGCCTTGCCTTGCCTACTGGTAGCTCCTGAGTTACAGGTTGGAAACCCCTGCACTTGTGTATTCACCAGAACTGACCCAGAAGTTTATCGGGTTGTTCAACACCAAAGGGCTCATATTACACTATTTTCTGATCTATGTAATAATGTTGTTTCCTGATCAAAAACATACTTAGAGTTTTGTTCCATTCACACATATTTAACAATTCTTCTCTCATACTGACACCGTGTTCCTCCTTGTCATGCCATGTGGTAATACAGGAAGCGCTCCACTTTGTTTTTAAACTCCACACACCTTCACTAAAATCATCTGGATAATTTCAGCCTTGGAACTGCCAATCTCTACTGAACAAAAAGAAGTTGTTAAATGTTTAAAATTAC